TAAAAACCTTCTCATTATTAATTCCTTTGTAACCATCTGTGTTGGTCCTTTGAGGTTCTGGCATTACGGTTAAATACCTAAAACCTTGCTCCAACACAGTGTCAAAGATGTCGTAGACCAGACGATAGCCAGTTCCTCCCTCTGGAGAATATGAAATACGATAGGATGTGATGGATCAGCTGACTGAGGCCCTGAGGCAAGCTTTCTTTTTTTAAATGGAATGAATCATAGGTGCCTTTGCTGCTGTTGGTAAAAGCACATCACCTGAAAGCTGATCATACTGGTGAAGAACCCTGGTTATTAATGTCCCTAACTATCTGTCACGGTTTCCCTCCTTCTTTCTGGGTTACAGATCTTCTCAGTATATTACATGGAATAAATGAGCAATTTACTTCTGGTTTTAAACTCTGATGTGTTACCTTATGATTTAATTCTTGATAATGAAAGCACAAATTATGACCTGTATATAACAATACCAATAAATACAAAATAAAACATATTGTTTTTCAGAAACTGTTGGAAAGAGTTTTGTTTACTCTTAAGTTGTTGTTTTTTTTTAAGGTTTATTGCAGTATATTTGCTGCGGTAAATATTTGGATGAAAATTTAAATTAGAATGACCAAATATTTGAGCTGCAACTGACTAACTGGTTTTATCTATTCTTAACTAATGCTAGAATACATTTTCGAAATGATTACAGACTATTCAGATGAACTCAACATATACCTCATATACACCATATACAGTATGTTTGGGTACTGATTTAATGCTTGTAGCTCTTTGATACAATATGATTCAGTTCTTGTAGTACATGGTCACTACTACACACTATAGAACTATATTTATTTGTTTTTTATTTCTATTTCTTCTGATCTACCAGCACTCTCTTTACGGTCTACTGGTAGATCCCAATCTACTTACTGTGCACCCCTGGCATCGCAGATAAGATGAATGGGTTGGAAGTGTGGGAATGCTCAGAGAAGCCTTTAAATGGACCAGAGAGTTTCAAATGGCATTGAAAACAAATAGAAAACTACCAGATGGACCCTCTGTTCTGGCATATGCTTAATTTGGCTTTCCATTTCTGTCTGGGGCCCGTTCCCAGTCAGAAATAAGAAAGAGCGGAGTGTTTAGTGGTCTCTCCAAACCGAGGCCCCTTAAGGTCAGAGAGAAATCACTACAGTGTATTTAAGGTAGAGCTCCTAGCATTAACACAGCTCAGAAGAACACCTCATGTTCTCTGGAATTCACAGCCGTCCCTGAACACAACCTGCTCGGCAACCTTGAGACAGTTAACCCAACCCCACCCCCCCCACCCCCACTGCTCCTCTGTGTCTCGCATTAATTACTGTGGTGTTACACAGATGAGCTAAATGCAGGGATTCAAAGAGTACTTAGTATAAAATAAATTAAATGAATAAATAAATAAAAATATGTAGAATATTTACTGTCATGAGCAGAGTGTATAGCAACATGTGACGATGTGCTCGTCTGCTCCACTTGCCGACTGGTTCCTGTGCAAACTACGTCAGAATGATGGAACAAGACGTAACCACAGAACCTCGT